TTTCTATTCTCTTCCTTCTTTTATTCTATATGGCTTTGTGCCACACAAAGCCAAATTCAGTAAATCGTTATATTTTTTGTTACGCCCTTTTTTATCTCTTATTATGAACTGCCTTTTAATGTCCGTTTTTATGACATACTAGAATACAAAATAAAATAAAACCCTAATCAGTTGGTATTGTACTAACATTTTTCATCCTGGTTCTTCCCGTCTTCTAAATCGTTCAAAATAAATAAAATTAAAAACTAAAAGTGAAAAATAAATAAATTACTTCTACTGTAATTAGAGAAGTCAAACCGAAGTGAAATAATGTAGAGAATGCAGAACTGATTTCCAAAGTTCTTTGTGATGTGTGAGCGCTAATTGTAAGTACAATTTTTTTTGTATTCCTTTAAGGCTACCAGTTTCAATGAGTCTATCGGAACCTTTTCCAATGAAATTGAATGCTCCAACTACAACTACACGTGACACATTTTTGAGATTTTGATTTTAAGGTCCTTGTACTTTAATATTTTTTTCTTTTTTTATCTTCAACGATACATTAATGTCTGCAGGGACTTTCATGTCAATAAGAAAGTACATATTCTATTTTTGTGGTCTTTGATCACGATGCCCTGGCGATCAGCTTTGATTTCTTTTTTTCTGTCTATGTGCATTATAGAGTCCCATAAAATTGTTACAGTTCCTATCTTTGTAACCGGATCTGGGTGATGTTTATACCAGTTTCTTGCAATTTCTTTTCCGTAAAAGTTTCATATTTTCCAGTATAGATATTGGTCCAATCTATCATGCCGAGTTTTATATTCAGTGGGTGCTAACACTGTGCAACATGATGCAAGATGGTCAATTGTGTAGACGTCATGTTTACATTAACCTTCGTTTTTCTACCTGTATCATTTTTTTATTTATTTTTTTTTTTGACTGAAAAGTAGCATTTATGGTCAATTGTTTTTGGATATTTATCACAGAAAATTAATTATTATTATTATTCTATTTCCTTTGATTTCTGGTTTGTACACATTTCGTTTCGGGTCCCGCCCAGAAACCTAAGGTTAGAAATGGCATCATGACACTTTCCACTGAGACACACCCCAAAAAATTATATAGATAAAACCCTTCGTAAGGTGTGGGCTGTACATGTGAGAACAGTTTTTTGTATTTCTTTAAGGCATGGGCTTACAGGAATCCCTTCAATTAGTCTATTGAAATCTTTTCCAGTCAATTTGAGGGATCCAAGTACCACAGGAATAGTTAATGTTCTCATGTGCCACATTTTTGAGATTTCAATTTCAAGAATTCTCTATTTTGATAGATTTTTGAATATCTTCAAAGATACATTGCAGTCTGCAGGGACTGCCATATAAATAACGAGGCACTCTTTTTGTTTCCTGTCCCTAATAACAATGTCTGGGCTGTTATCTTTGATTGTTCTGTCTGTGTGTATTGTGTAGTCCCATAAAATTGTAACAGGTTTATTATTATTATTATTATTATTATTATTATTATTATTATTATTATTATATTTCGATTTTTGCTATGGCCACCCTACCTACCAAGTCTGCGGGAAGACCTAAGGCAGATAGTGGTGTGTCGTTATGGCTACGTTTCATTATTTATTTTTCTCACTCCCATAACATCACTAGTGTTACATGGATAAAGTTCTTCTTAGAGTATGGGCTGTACTTATCAAGATTTTTTTCGTATTTCTCTTAAGCTGGGATTTTCATGGATTTTTTCAATATATTGTTTTGTTCCTTTTTTGTCATTCCAAGCGCACCTACTATGACTGTTTCTACTCTTGTTTTCAATTTCCACACTTATTCTATTTCGATTTCCAGGTCTTTATACTTCGATAGTTTTTTTCAAATTCCTTGGTTGCTATGTTACAGTCCGCTGAGCAAGCCATATTAATTAGTAGGCAACTTTTTCTTTTTAGTTTTTGACAATTATGTCTGGTCTATTTGCTTCAATAATTCTATCTGTAAAGATGACGTAGTCCCATAAAATTGTGATGTCTTCTATCTCTGTATCCGATATTGGGTGATGTTCCTGAGATTAGATAGTCTATGGTTTCCTTATATTTGTTACAGAAACTCTATTTTTGATCAACACTATTATGTATGATATTTGCCTGAAAGTTTCTAGTGAAAAGACTCTCGTCTTGCGCTGAATGAATAAAACCTTCCGTTTCAGCCTTTAATCCAGAAACTCGTAACCATCGATGAGTGTTAACTTTATCAACGTTTGTTTTATTAGCCTCGTTCTGGATATTGGCCATGCAGAGGTTGTTTCATCTGTTCAAGAGCTTTATACTTGGCTTTCATTTTCATAATTTTAGCAGCAACAATTGTTTCTTGGGTTCTGTTTTGGTTTTCTACAGAATCTGCTAAATGTAAATCTCGTTTGTATTTACAGCTTTTCTTAATGATTAAATATTTTTCTTTCTCTTTTCGTGTCGTTTGACTAATTGTATCATCTAGTCCTTAGTTGTTTCCATGTATGTTAGTAAGCCAACAGTTGTTGTCATGTATGAAAATTCTAGCTGAATAAAACCTCTTCTAACTTCTTTACAGGGTATGTATAGACGGCCTGTATTAGCGTTTGGATGATACATGTTATGCTTAGAAAGAAGCTTTCTTGTTTTAGAATCCATTTGTCTGATACCATTTAAAGTCTAGTTCAAGATGCTGAAACTATATTGAACAATAGGATGGCAAGTCTATTAATAGCCATAATTCTGTTCTGAGAATTCCATTGAGTTCCTAATATCAGCCGCACCATCGAAAGTACTATTTTCACAATTTTTCTTTAATTTTTGATAGTTAATTCTTTAACTGATAGAACGTCATTTTCAATCTTAATTTTGTATTTTAGTTTTACTTTTCTGCTTTTTCTAGTCCATACATATGATCCTCGAGTTCTGACAATTCACTTCGAAGCTGTTCACTTTCTTTCTTTATTTTTCTATTTTCCAAGGTGGATATTTATATATGTCAGGCTGGCATTTTTTTACTTTGATGTTTAATTTTTTAGTTGCTGAGGCATATATTGCTTCATTGTAACTTATAGGCGGCTCTACTTGACCCAGAATTAATTTGAGTGCTGCATTGTAGAGTTTAATAGTTTTGAGCTTCTGCTTTGTGGGTTGCAATTTTGAGAGTTGTTCTCGTTCCTCCATTTCAATATTTTGTGTCAAACTTATATGTCTCATAATTTCTTACTTGGCTTCTTGTATACTATTCTTGTTTTCCGTAAAATAATTCGGTTCAATGTGTTTTGGACTCGTTTTATTGCAGGCTTTTGAACGACTAAGTTAACGCCATTCCTACTCTTGTAAACTTTGAACATTATCTTCACAGTGATTGGTGTAGATCTCAGTTTCTTCATTATAATCTGTGGTTTGCCTGATGTCGGAACTTTTTATGCCCATTTCTGGAAACTATTCATGTTCTGGCGATTCAGGTATTCTGATTACAATTCTATTAATTTCTTTAATTTCAGCATCTGTCAATCGGTTATTTCTCATGATATACCTTCCTACAATGGTTAGTTTATTTTCGTCGATGTACTTTCTAATAGTTTGCCCAATTTTTTTCTCGCCAAATGTCATATATTTGGCCAGTGCTTCTTTTCTGAGGTTTGTGCAACGCTTCATAGAATGCAGACATAATGAGTTTGTACTCTTCACGTGACCATTTTTACCTTTTCTTTCTTTAAATCAATGGTTGTAGGTCGAGTTGAAGAATTCGCAGAACCATCATTGGGATTATCCCGGTTGTGGGCACCTGAAGATTCATTATTTGTATAAGAGTTTGTTCCTATGGCAAATTTTTCGACCTCAGGTAAGTTTATTTCCGAGGGACGTGCTACCCATTTATCCACTGGAAAAGCCATACTGGAATTTTTAGTTTGACTTTTAGTTCTCATATTGTTCCCACGTGTGACGTAGGAGACCAAAATTTTCCCCAAAGTCGTCCGGTACATTGGGTAAGGTTCTTTTACAAACAGGGTTCCAAAACCTGTTGGGAGTCGTAAGCGACCTCATAACGCAGTTGACATTCACTCCTATTATTGTTTTTTCATTTGAATTAGATTGTATACTCATTTCTTTCCGGGTCCCAACGAGATACCTAAGGTCAGAAATGGCATGACATTTTCCACATTTTTGTAAAAAAAAAAAAGGTGGGGCGGGATTTTAGTATTGTTGTTGTAGTTATTATTATACATTAGTGGGTATCGAATGTATTTTCGTATTTTACAGACCTTGATTCACGTACGCATCTAAAGTCTATGATTCCATTATATTATTATTATTATTATTATTATTATTATTACGAAGTCATAGCACATTGTGACCAATTAAGTTTACATCTTAGTAGGAATAAAATCTCGGATGGGTTCCGTGAGTGTTAAAAAAAACGAAAATGTGCCTGAGCAGGTGTCTGCAACAGGGAATGACTTGACGAATGTGCCCAAAAATGACTGATCGGCCGTTATATAGGGAAGTAATCATTAAATGTGAGCAAGAAATAAGCGTTAGAATAAAAGCGTGAAAAATCTACAATGTTTTTTTGTTTTATTGTATCTATTCTCGATCTTTCTACAAAGCCATTGTTGCCAGTGCTTAAGAATGACCGTTAACGGATTAGAGGTCTTCAGCTTTTGAACTTTAAACCCTGTGGTTTCTTAACCAGTGTAATTGCCTCTAAGTCATCAGTCTGGGATCGACACTTTCCTGTCGGGCCATATAATTAATAAAGTGCAATGAAGGGCTTTCTCGTCCTCAAAATATTATTGCACCCAAGGTGAAGCAAAAATTCACATTTTATTGTTTAATATCATTGAAAGTCACGCTCGCTTCTTTTAAGGGTAAAATACAAAAAAGATTAATGGATGGTGTGACAATAACTGTCTTATCAATTGCAAAGAACGTTGACTTTTTTTTGTATGAATGTGGCCTCGGGGATACATGTCGTAATAGTGAAATTGCTTAAAGTTACCGAGTTATATTGAATACTCTATCCTTATTGGGCGGTCTTCCCGTGTCCGTAAGGCGGCTGGACATTCACGATAAGAGGTTAAGATGAAAGAAGCTATTATGTCTTCCCACGTCATGCCAACGTTCGCTTCATTTCGACTTCCGCTAAGATTTTTACTTCTTCAGAAAAATAATTCAAGCGAGAACATTGCAAACTGTTTGATGAAAGGTTCTTCTTGCTTCGATGCCGAATTGAGAAATGAGACGAAGGGTCCATTTTACTGATTTGACAAAGGGGTGAGTAGGGGTGAAGTCCCTTCTGCCGATAATCGCCCACTTAGATTGCGTTTTTCATATTGTCTTTTATTTTTCAGGTTTCCTTCACATACACAAATGTAAACATGGTGGTGGTATTTGGTGGGCGGCGTGGAATCGTTTGATCAAAATGTACTACAAGACTGTTTTCAGCTGTTAATTGAAGCTGTCGACCGCGAAGAGGCAAACCAGGAACATCTAAGACCAATAACCAGCGAAAAGCCAGTTTAATGTGGGTGAGGTGGTCGGGAAATTTAGTGACACCAAATTGGTTTCTCGCCGAAGAGGAGATGATTTCAAATCAGATTCTTATTATTTGGTAATACGTGAATAGGCTGATACTTGCAGTTAATAAAATCCTATTTAATAACGCGTGTGTAAAGATTTTAAGTAAACGAGACAGGCGCTAAAAAGCGCGTTGGAAAAGGAGGAAAATCTCATGTGTACCTTGTGTGGAAAATTGACAGTATTTGGAAGAGGGTATTTGCTAGCAGCTTTACATTACTTATTTCTTATTCCTCTACCACATCTCTCTCTCTTATTCATTCTATCTCTCACACTGTCCTTTATCTCTCACAGCCTCTCTCTCTCTCTCTCTCGTTCTCTCTCTCTCTCTCTTATTCATTTTATCTCTTCACCCTCTGCTTTATCTCTCACAGCCTCTCTCTCTCTCGTTCTCTCTCTCTCTTATTCATTCTATCTCTCATCCTCTCTCTCTCTCGTTCTCTCTCTCTCTTATTCATTCTATCTCTCATCCTCTCCTCTCTCTCTCTCTCTCTCTCTCTCTCGTTTATCTCTTATTCTGAATGTTTTCTATATCTTACACTCTCCCACTTCTCTCTAACACTCTCTATTTTCCCTTACTCTCTCTCTCTCTTTCTTCTTTCTTTCTTTTTTCTATCTCCCCCTTCCTTCTATTTCTCTCTTTCTCACTTTTTCCATTGATTCTTCGTTTTCTGGCATTCATCCTTTCTCATCTCTATTATTCTCTCTATTTATCCCTTTACTTTATTCTCCTCATTCACAGATCTTTACCTTCTTTTTCTTCAAATGATTATTTTCTGTGCCTGCCTCATAGATAGATAGATAGATAGATAGATAGATAGATAGATAGATAGATAGATAGATAGATATATGAAAAGACACTGATAAGGAGAGACTTAGATAGATAGATAGATAGATAGATATGAAAAGACACTGATAAGGAGAGACTTAGATAGATAGATAGATAGATAGATAGATAGATAGATAGATAGATAGATAGATAGATAGATATGAAAAGACACTGATAAGGAGAGACTTAGATAGATAGATAGATAGATAGATAGATAGATATGAAAAGACACTGATAAGGAGAGACTTAGATAGATAGATAGATAGATAGATAGATAGATATGAAAAGACACTGATAAGGAGAGACTTAGATAGATAGATAGATAGATAGATAGATAGATATGAAAAGACACTGATAAGGAGATACTTAGATAGATAGATAGAGAGAGAGAGAGAGAGAGAGAGAGAGAGGATCAAAGAATAAGTTAAATATAAACAAAATTAGATAGATAGATGTATGACTGTCAGTCCCCATAAAGTTTTAATTTCTAAGTCTATATTCCTTATATCTACAAAAGCATTCTCCCAGATATCGAGCACGCTTCTCTTATATATATGCTAAATTCACACACACACACACACACACATATATATATATATATATATATATATATATATATATATATATATATATATATATATATATATATATATATATATATATATATATATATATATATATATATATATATATATATATATATATATATATATATATATATATATATATATATATATATATATATATATATATATATATATATATATATATATATATATATATATATATATATATATATATATATATATATATATATATATATATATATATATATATATATATATATATATATATATATATATATATATATATATATATATGTATAATACATCAATGTTATTTTAGTGCTTACTTGTATTGGAATAAACGCTCCGTTTATTTATTAATCAGTATTTATTTTCGTCTACCGGCCTAAATATTATTAGAAAAAAATAAATAAAAATCTGTTAATTTCTTCGGATATATATATATATATATATATATATATATATATATATATATATATATATATGTGTGTGTGTGTGTGTGTGTGTGTGTGTGTGTGTGTGTGTGTGCTGGTATGTATGCGAGTGTGATCTATAGTAGTAAGTTAAAACCCGAGAATAAAATCAGTCTAATGCTATCTATTCTCATGGTTTTAAATTGTGGGCAACGATCTGGTCAAAGGGTTATTTTTAAGCCACAAACGTTTGACTGGAAAAAGATGCACCCTGAGAACGAACCTGTCTCTTGATACGTCAGTCTTTGAAACTATTAAGCATGGTGTCAACGAGTAAGTGCGTATCTATCTACGCAGCTATCATCTGTCATATGACCGGGTGTGGTCTTAGGGCCGCTACGAAGCTGAGTACCTGATCAGCTTCCTGCTTACATCTGACAATTCCCGTGTCTCTGTGAATAATCTTCCAATTCACTCAGTAACGTTGTCAGCCTATTATTTTCTTCAATCTGTCTCTTGCATTTTACCTGAGGAAATATCTTGTAGGATGGCAGTGTAAAGATTACTAGATCTGATGACGAAGCGATACCATTCGAATTTTCTCTTCTTGATGGTGTATATGAGGTCTTCCTGTTTGATGGTGTCTCGTACTACGTAGAAGTTGCCTAGAGTGCTTATCTAGTAACTCATTTCAAATTTCTTGAATTCTTCTCTTTAATTCTGCTATTAATGTCCAAGGTTCGCTGGAATACAGAAAGATGGACAAGACCAATGCACGCAACAGTCTGATTTTTGATTCTAGACAGACTCTCTGGCCTTCCCAGGTGGTTCTTCGTTTTGCGACAACTCCCGCTATTTGTGCCACTCTTGAAATTATTTCTATTCTGAGACCATCTTCAATGAAGCAAATTATTTAAACTGTCTTCAAGTTCCTGGATATGGACATTTACCTTGGGACATAAGTCTCCATAATTTGCTTTCAATATAAAAGTTCTCGGCTCGACCCATTACACAAAATTTATCCAAACACCAGACTTCTTTTTACATCCCTTCCTGGTAGTTTTTTCTCCCATCATCAGCAACCCCCCCATTTATATATATATATATATATATATATATATATATATATATATATATATAGTGAGAGAGAGAGATTTAATAGGCTTGTTAATGAAATTTAAGGAAGAAAAAGACAACAAAATGATAACAATATTGACAATAAGATTGATGATATTTCGTTTTAATTATCTCTCTCTCTCTCTCTCTCTCTCTATATATATATATATATATATATATATATATATATATATATTCCGACAATTATTTTAAGACATTTTTATGTTTATACATTCTTTTTATAGATACAAATATTTAAGTAAATTTTCTGTTTATAATAAACAGTATTAATAACATTTACTGTCCGAGAATTTTCCATAGAAAATATGCGCCCTCCAAAAGATATCGAACCTGTATCCTACACGGAACCATCCTATAGCCTGACGTGCCTTAACCGATTGAGCCACAGAGGATCGTTCGGTTAGCTAGGTCGATATTACTGCCTTTAAACTACAATCTTCAATGAATCTCTCACGTACATTCATATCTGCTCATGGCGTATCCAAATGTAGACAAATGACGTCACATATTACGAAATGGACAAAGTCCCACAATTATTTTTAGATTTAATATTTGTATCTATAAAAAGAATGTATAAACATAAAAATGTCTTATATATATATATATATATATATATATATATATATATATAACATCAATGGATTTTATATCCGACGTTTTTCCTATTAGTACAAACGTTATTTTATGGATGTACATATTTCCGTGGAAGACCTGTTTTCATTTTAAACAGTATGAATTAAAAGTTAATAAAAAAAAAGAAGCACATTTTCATTATTTAGTCTCTAAAATGCACAAATGGGTAGACGTAATTCACATCGTAAAATCGAAATAAGGGTACTTACTAAAATATGGGCAGTTACAAAAAAATAGTAGTCGGCCTATCCAGATGACTTACGTTATAACTACCCAACCACCGTTCCAACAGTATCTATTTAAACACCGACACAAACTTACGAAACTTCAACCGAAGCACTCTAGTAGAAAATACAGGCGTAATTACCTCATCCACATTTAATGAAATATAATACAAGCATTAATAATGAAAAAGAAAAACGCCAACACTCAATAATGTTAACTACGATCATGACCATCATTTGCTAACCGTGTTCAAAAAATAAAACATCCCTATGACTCTAGAAACATAAACGCAAACCATACAGCCAGTTAAAAATCAAAAGTAAAATCATCATTGATAATGGCTAAAATTATATTCGAAAGCGTTCGGAATAACAATATTTGGACAATTCCACACAATCTGTGTCCAGACAGGAAAACATTTCTTCGAATACAAGTAACATGAAATAAAAAGCTTAATCGCAGTACCTTGTCTGGCGACTTTAATGAAACATGTATAAATGAGGGATTGCTACCTAAATACACTATATATATATATATATATATATATATATATATATATATATATATATATATATATATATATATATATATATATATATATATATATATATATATATATATATATATATACTATACTATATATATATATATATATATGTGTGT